GCCCAGGGCAAGACTAGAACTCAGAGTCTCCTGATTTCACAATAGTAGATTATTGATCTGGAACCGCCCAATTTCTCTCCAGAAAGTGAACAATTTTCCCTAGCGACCACTGAACCACACTGACATTGTAAAAGTAAGGTTGTGCCATCTTCTGTAGTTCAGATCATTTAAAACTTACCTTGCAAAGGGTTTGGAAAGAGGTTAGCTTGTGAGGGAGAGCAATTAACCTCTAGCTTTGTTTGTTTGCTTTTGCAAGCCTATACAAGGAACATTACATGCAAGATATATGGTGTGATGGCAACAGAGTCAGAAAGGACAAAGGTATCTAAAGGAGGAGCCTCAAAGGTGATGAAAGACCGGTATGAAACTGTAGTTGAGGGAGGGGAGATGTATTGTGTGCAAAATGGCCGGATGCCCCTTTCCCGCAACATCATTCCAACTAATAGCAAAACTATTTACAATAATAATGATATTATCTTTTTGGACTCTTGTGCAGTTCAATTCTGTTCACGAGACTTGCTTTCCTTTACAATACTGAAATCTCCTCCTTTGAAGGTTATTCAGAAGTCCAAGATACAGAAGGCTTTTAGATGGCTCCTTCGTTCCTCCTTTTTAATAAAATAAATGGACTCGCAGCCCGGAACTAGGGAAAGCTGAGATTTTATTCTACGCTTCTCCACTCTGATGCTCTCCAGATGTAGGACTGTTACTAACATCATTCTTTACCATCAGTAATACTGGCCAGAACTTAATGGAACTGTGGCGTCCCAAGTACATAAACACCATTTGATTGTTTACTGCAGTTCTAATAAAATCTTTTGTTTCCAACAGTGTCCACCCAACCAGCTTAAAAAGCACACAAACACAGACACCTGCAAGGACATTCTAATTTATCTTAGCATTTCTTCTCAAGGATCATACTGCCTCTTAAAGAAGAATACAGTCTTCATGGCCAAAACCACTAACTGACCTCTCCCCATAAATTTGTCCATTTCCTTAAATCCAGATCTGGGTGTCTGTGACTCTCCAAATAACGGAATTTGTCTTCCAACATGTAGAGGGTTACACACCCATTCCTCACCCTTACTTTGACTATTTGCTCATAACGGTGATGATGCCTTCTCTTCTCTGTAATATTTCCAGCTCTCCAATTAGGACACACAATCTAAGTTATTCAAACTAACAGTGTTCGATGTTTTCCTCAAGGGGTTTTAAATAAAGAACACAGGAATAAAATCGTGGAAAATGTCTACTGGCTTGGCTTTGCCTGCTACATTGAAAAAAGAACCTCTTTCTAAGCACTAAAATCATCATCTACAGGTAGTCCTCAAGTTATGACCACAATTGAGTCCAAAATGTCTGTTGTTAAGTGAGGTATTTGTTAATTGAGTTTTGCCCCATTTTTACAACCTTCCTTGCCACGGTTGTTAAGTGACTTGATAAGTTAGTATTGTTGTTATGTGAATCTGGCTTCCTCATTGGATTTGCTTGTCACACACCAGGTGGCAAAAGGGCTTTCTGACAAGCAACCTTGGAACACAGCAATGGTCATAAATATGAATCAGCTGCTAAGCACCTGAATTTTAATCACATGGTCACGGGGATGCTTCAAAGGTTGCAACTGTAAAAAACAATTACAAGTTAATGTTTTCAGTGCTGTTTTTTGTAACTTTGAACTGTCACTAAATGAACTCTTGTAAGTCAAGGACTACCAGTAGGTCTATCATTCCCTCTTTCTCTAATTTGCTTCAAAAAACAGACCAATGATCCAATGAAGACAAGTATTCAAACCTTTCAAAAAAACCATTTGTACTGGGCAGGACACTTTTTACCTGCAAAAGCTACCTTAAAAACTTTTTTTTTTCTCCCATGGGTAGCAGGAAACATGACAATGGTGCGATTTATACAACAGAGCTGGAGTTCTCAGGTAGAAAACTCTCTTCTAAAACCTTGGAGAGGTTTAATAAAATAACATAGTCAAGCCTTTTAAAATTTAACATGTCTGTTTTAAGGCCGATAAAAAAAATAAGCTGCATATCATGCCATTATAAGTCTCTTTTCCCAGAGAGTCTATCTGACAAGGAGAACTACTGACCTAGAGTAAATGAGGTGACACAAAATCGGAGACACTCCCTTACAGAAACAAGGCTGGGTAAATACAAGCAATTGCTTTCCTTTTTAAAAAACCCCTCTACCCACGCAGCTTTCACTTTCTGTTACACAAAAAGACAGAGACTGTTTTTTACAGTTTTGTATTTTTTTTTTCTTCAGATATTATTTTACAGTTTTGACTCCCACAAGAAGGCACTTTCAATTGGCAATTTATCACACACTCTCCTTCATGATTAAAGATTCAGCTTGTGGTCTTCAGAGAGAGAGAGAGAGAGAGAGAGACAGCCTGAAAAACCTGAATGGGGAATAATTTCTCCATTCACGGGGAGGAGAACTAGTAACATGAATAATGTGAGATGTGGATGTGGCATCTTATTCAGCCACTTGAGAAACTCCAGGAGCCTGGTGTAGTAGCCAACCTATCTCGGTTCCCTGAAATATCTAGATGGAGATTTGTGTGGCTCTTTGGAGCCCTCAAACTGGCACTGAGAAACAATCCCAGTGAAGTGCTGAGTTTTCAAATACTCTTGTTAGAATCCAAACTGGCTTGCTGGCACTGAACCGTTAGCCTTCCTAATTCAAGACATGAAACAGGATGTGGGAAGCAATTCTATGGAGAAAGTGAGAGAGGCGTCGCTCAAGCAGCTGTTTAAAAAGGGGCTTGTTTGCTGTTACCTTAAAAGATTATGATGGGGTGGGTTGGTATGAGAACCAGTCTCCAGTGGGAACAGAAAGCGGTGGAGAAGGGAAAAGTGAATAAAAGCACAAATATGTGAAAAAGGAAAGTAGAAAGAAGAGAAAGAAGTTATTTCTCTTCCACGGAACAATTTTGGGCTCTGTATATTTGATGCAGATGAAAAAAATGAGTTTTTCTGTGGAATGAGACCATTGACTTAGTCTCATGTTAACTCTTAGCCAATGTGGCTAGTAACACTGGCCCTGACCAATACTGTGTGGATTATTTCATTCCTTTGCCTCAAAGAAGGACTGGGAAGGTTTCAGGCACTTGGTAAAAATGGCAGAGGCTCCCTCAATAGAAGTATCAACTCATGGGCAGAAAACATTCCCAATGCATTTCCTTTTATATCAGAAATGACAACAAAGCACACAAAAATAATCACCATCTCCCATGAACAGCATTATAATACAGCAATAAAAAAATCATCATACTTTTTCCCATTCCACATTTTCCTATTTTTCCTATTATATATACACACATATATACATGGTATACATATTTATATAATCTAAAAGCATGCCCAGTTAAAATTCTTTCTACATTCTGTAAAAAAAGAAAAGAAAAGCCATTCCCACCCCACAATGGGGTGTACTGGGCAACTCCCTACACAGAATTTGGATTAATCTTTAAAGGGGATCTTTTGGTTTGTGGGAGCTAATGGGTCCAAGTTGGCCTTTGGCCTCTTTGTGGGTGGGGAAGGAGGAAATATTTCTTGGTCCTGCCAGAATGAAGCAATTTCTCATGTTCTCAATTTATTCCATCAAACACAGCATTAAGGAGGCAACTGAGGTAGGGTGAGAAAAGGAAAAAAAAAGATACAGTTCAGGCCAAATTTAGCTACTCCGATGGGAAAAAACTATGTACAGGCCAAAGGAGGTTGATTCCATCCTTAAATCAAGATGATCCATTGAAGCAGCAAAGAAATATGCAGTCTAAGTTTACACAATAAAAAGTTCACTCTTAAAACAGTTTTCTGCCCAACAGTGTGTGCATAAATTGTAACCATTTTTTTTTTGCCCCCACAGGCATTTCTGTGGTTGGAGAAATAACAAAAACCAGCCTTAAAACATCACAAGAGTGTTCCTTGTTAATTCAACCTGACATTAATATAGATTGGCTTAAAAGATAATATGGAATGATTAGAGATCATTTTGCACTACATTTTACTTTTGCCTCACATCAATTAAAAAAAAAAATCTTTTAGAAATACTGTACATTTTAAAATGTGTTCCGAAACAGTTTCGCCGCTGAAAACCGTGACACAACATTTGAAGAACTATAAAATCTGGAGAAAGTTATTCAATGCATATTTTCAGTGTTTCAATGCATGTTTATCCAGGAAGTGCAAATCTGGCAAGCCACTGAGAAAATTGCCAGGTTCAATTTCTCAAGGACTGCTAAGGAAAGACTTTAGACCAGGGGTGTCCAACCTTGGCAACTTTAAGACTTGTGGACTTCAACTCCCAGAATTCCTCAGCCAGCAAAGCTGGGAGTTGAAGTCCACAAGTCTTAAAGTTGCCAAGGTTGGACACCCCTGCTTTAGACCTACATGGTCTTTCCATACAGTACTAGCAATCGATGCCATACCTATAAGAAGAAGAAGAAGGAAGGAAAAAAGATGATGACAGTAGTCTTAAGGAAAAACAAAGCTTCTCTTCTTTGACCATCCATTATATTTCCTTTCTTCCACTCTCTTCAGATTGTTAGAACAATGCTGTTTTTATAATGGTTCTTTTTTTTTGGGGGGGGGGAATAAAAATAAAATAAAAAGGAATATGTTTATCTACTGTTCAAGGAATCTGCAGTTTGCATTGTTGAAAGATGACCTGAATTTAATTATCATCTTCAAACATACCTGATCTGACAGCTGTGGTTTCTAAACATCCTGTCACTCTTATTCAGAGGGAGCAGTAGGTTAATCAGAACTGTCTGGCCAGGTGTAGACCAGCAGTGATCAGCTACATCAACCATTTCTGGTCCATTGTAAGTATGTTTAATACTAAATTAAACAATTAAGTAAATTTAATTGTTGTTTCATGTTGAAGAAGACAGCAGTGAAGTTCAAATGAGCTACTAATGAGCAACCAAGATCTGCAGTACCCTATGCCTGAGTTAAGATTATTGGGGTCTACGGCATCTTAATAATAATAAAAAAGAGAAATAGGCAAAGGCACAAGGAATTCTTACATCCCGAAAATATTTTAAGGCAAATTTAAGATGGCACTGGAGAGGAAACCAAGGCAAATCCATAACCAGAAATAGTAACTAGGCAGAATTCCAAGAAAATTCTTGTTTGGTATCAAAATTTTCTATTAAACAGGCTTCAAAGATACTGGAAAAAAATTAGGAAAAAACATTGTGAACCACAGGGATGGGTCAGCTTAGTTTCGCTGAAGCATCACCTTATGGAAACACCCCCCGCCCCCCCAGCACTGTGGACAAAGCAGCAGAAATGGAGACACCTCCTTTTGGCACATGACCTCTGCTTTCTCCTCCTCATGCTATCCCAGCAAGTCTGTTGATTCTAAAAGGCACAATTTGCCCCACATACTCCGCAAATCCAGAAAGATTACAGATTTCTAGGGAGGCAGTGGGATTTGAAGGCACCGACTGTAGCACAAGACAAAACACACACACACACACACAGTGGTCAAGGAATGAATACACCTCCCACATCCCATCCCTCTGTTTAGTCTAATTCTGACTGATGTTGTATCACTGAAAGGACAGTGTCAAAAAGGGACTTAAAGGCTGGAGGAGGAAGGAGGAAGGGCTGACACACGATATGGAGAAGATGCAAAGAGGAAGATTCCAAAGCATTCAATGTAAATACTGTAGGACGGGATCATTAATCATTTCTCTAAGCTGTGGGAGGGATCTGTGGCTCTCCAGCTATTGCTTTAGGATCCCTTGTGCCTCCCTCATCAAGATCGTAACAGCTGAGGAAACCAGGAATGTTCTTCAGCAACATATGGAACCATGGCTTCCCAGCTTCTGTTCTTTAATATTGGATTCTCTTAATTACAGAACTTGACTATCCTTTCTTTCCCATAGAATTTTCTTTCTTGCCAGCCATATTTCACATCTCAAGGAGACCCTTCTCGGCCTTCCAATGCCACCTCAAGTCTTTCCTCCTAAGCAAATGTTTGTATCATGAACCACCTTATCCCAATATAATCACATAAGTGGCCTGAGAGTTCTATTTCCAGAGAATTTTTTTTTAAAAATAGGGACTCAACTCCTCTTATTTTCTTGCTAGTAAAGGTGACATAGCTGATTCGCCCAAAGTCTCAGCAGGAAGAAGCAAACTTGATTTCCATCCCTCTCCTCCTTACGAAACGTCTCCAGCCCTTCTGTTATCTAATTTACAGGAGGGGGAAAATGATTAAAACTGGGAATTCTTCCAATCTCTCTCTTCTCCCCTCACTGTGTTTGGAAATTTAGGACTTTTCCCACAAGGGGAGGGGGAAGGTATTTCCAAGAGGAGCTAAAGACAAAACTGACCTCACTATTAGTCCCAAGAGATAGCTTATGTGTAATAGTTATTATCCACGGTCCACAGCCCCTTTGTGAAAGACTCAGCTTAAATTTTAAGCCTTTTGGTGAAGCAGAAACATTTTCTCCTTTAAGGGTGGAGCTGAGTCCATTAAAAAAGTCACGCCCCTCCTCACATCTTTCTATCAGTTTTCTGTATCCCTGCTCCATCCACACCACTTTAGTTCTGCTTGTTCTTTTTAGCTTTTCTTCTCCACGTTTTCTTGAATGTTTTCAATCTGGGCTCTTCCTAGCCGATCAGTGATTTTAGAAATCACTTTTCCTGAAATTGGGACAATGGAGATATATGCACAGATACAACAATGAAGTGCAGTGAATACCTGGGAAACAGATTAGTGTATCTGCCCCCAAGATGGTGGCAAACGAGTGGAGAACTGTTCTGATTAGGAGGGAAAGGGCCATAGCTAGATCATAGCTTTGGTCACATTTGATATTTTGTGTGTATGTGGAGAGGAAAGGGGCTGAGGTCCTGGTTTCTGCAACCCATAATTCAAGGGGAGAAACTGTGAACCATAGCAGCAAGGAGGTTTCCTTCCTGGGGTTCAAGATCACATTCAGATGCTGAAGTTTCTTCTAGTGCCTCATGGGAATAATTGCTCTCTGCTGCCTCCTGCAGGGTTTCCTGGGCACTGCGTTGCTTGTCGAGGCCGAGGGAGCAGGCCATCCTGCTCGGCAGAAGGAAGTAGCCAAAATGGGCACACCTACCCCTCCGACTTCCCCTGCCCCAAAGCCCTGCCCCCTCCATTGGTCACTAGCTAGTAGTCCGGTGCTGCTTTAGCACGGTATATACATCATCTACTTTACTGAGTCTTTCAAAGAAAGGCAGCAAGTCAAGCAGCTCCGTGTCAGCCATGTTGTCAAACCATGAAGCCACAGGCACCTGCCGGGGGTGAAAAAAAGTAAGGGGTTACTGCATTGGTGGCTACTGGTAATTCAAGTAAAAGCTACCAGGAGCAGCTATTTTATGTAAGCACACTTCTTTATGTGGTGCTATGGATTGCATATGGTGTCGCTCTACTATTTAGCTTTCAATTGAAAAAGAAAAAACACATCTGCACAATGCGTGGTATTAAGAAAAAGACCCTTTTGGGCCCAAGTACCAAGTAGAAAGTTATCCCCATGTCCTCTTCTTCAGGCATATATTTTCAGGTCTGTTCAAGAGACACTGCAGAGGGCATGGCTTCCAAATTGATATGGTTGCCTCCCTGCCCCCTCAATTTAGAAAGTTGCTAGCTCCCCCCTCTACTTACAGCATTATCAGGGTGGAAGACGTAAGAGGCCGGTGAATTGTCTACAATGATGATCCGTGTCAGATCGCGTCCCAGGCGGCTGAGGTCCTTGACATAATTGCCCCGGTGGAAGACACAGGACTCACGAAAGAGCCGAGCACGAAAGGCTCCCCACTTGTCCAATAGATCAGCCACCGGATCAGCATACTAAAATTGGAGGACCAACAGGAGTTAAGGGAAACCAGTTTGACTAGATTCTCCAGTCATTCTAATGGGAAGAGTGTGTGTGTGTGTGTGTGTGTGTGTGTATGTGTGTAGCATTAGGATACACTATTTATTCCTATTGGTTTATTTCCTGCCAAAAGCCTGAAAGTTTTGTATTCCGCAGGGCTAAATTGGAAATCAAGATTAATAAACTCTTTCTCCAGAAGAGGCCTGGCTTTTCCAACTAATTGTTAATTAAAGTTGACTTCTCCTGAGGACTTCGTCCAGATTGCCTTTTAGTTGCAAAAGACAGAGGAAAAACCCAACATCTACAGTACAGGTAGTCCTCAGCTTGCAATCATTCATTTAGTGACCTTTCAAAATTACAACGGTACTGGAAAAACTGACTTACAACTGGTCCTTGCATTTACGGCCATCGCAGCTTCCCCACTGTCACCTGAATCAAATTTTGGGTGCTTGGCTACCACTGTGTGTTTACGTCTATGGAGATTCTTAGTTATACAGGTCATGGTTGCATTTAAAAGACAAAGTCCTCTCTTTTGAAGACAGCAAAGTCCACATTTTGGATAGAGGGGACTGCTGGTTTGAAAGAGGGGTCAAAAAGGCCAACTATGTCAAAGTTGAACAGCCCCCTCTCAACAGAAGGGGAGGGATACAACACTGTCTATCTCCAGTCTATAATACAGTCCTTTCAACAGTTCCAAGAAGGCTCCACACTCAAGTGCACCACTCAGGTGACCCCGAAGAGATAGATATTTCCAGGTGACCTTGATGACTTGCTAAAATAATGCAAATGACCAGCTTTCTGCAAGGAGTATAAATCCTTCCATTCCTCACTATCCAGCCAGAGCTAAAAAAGCTTCTTGGATGAGAAGTGAAACGTCTTCAGAGAAAAATCAGAAGGTCCACTTGCCTCTTGAAAAAGCCCCTTTGGGACACCATCTATTTACAACTGGTGTAGCATCCCAAGGTTATATGATCATCATTCTCAGCTGACTTCCAGCAAGCAAAGTCAATGGGGGAATCTGGATTTACTCAATGACCACATTTCACTGAACCACTGCTTTGATTGACTTAGCAACTGTGGCAAAAAGGTCATAAAATCTGATGCGACTTCCTTAACAAATGCCTTGCTTAGCAACAGACATTCCAGTCCAATTGTGATTCTAAGTCAGGGTCTACTTGTAGTACATTTGCTTTTTTAGGATCAAGGAAAATGGTACAAAAGAATGTCTCAACTTTGAAATATTTTAGAATTTTTCATCGAACAAAATGTTACAGAAATCCTGGGGTGAAGAAACCCAAAGCACAGAATCTTATTTCAGATCAGTGGGAGTAGCTTTCTACTGCAGCTTGCAAGAGGGAAGATGGATTTCTGGGGACCAGAATTTCTGGATTAATTCTGAGTTTAGAATGGATCAGGAAGTTAACTGGCCAAAAAGGTTGTCATGAGCATCTTCTTAAACTCTCTCTTTCTGTTGGCTAACTTTCTCCAAATTGAAGGCCATTACTCTGAATACTTCATAAGAAAGCAGGATGATAGGCAAAAGAAGAGAATCATACCTTTGCCAGGCTAGCAGTGAAGAGTACACACTCAAAGAGCTCACCCATCCGCCTCAGAAACTCATCCACATGGGGTCGCTTCAGTACATACACCTGGTGAGAGTAAGAGAAATCATGGAAGGGGATCATGGAACAGGTTGAAGATGGGGCTCTACATCTGCTTACTTGGCCAACAAACCAATGGACCCTGTTCCTTTCTAAAAGAAGGCAGTGCTCAGCATCAGAATAAGCCCACCTGAAGACTAGATGGCAAAACTGTTTGCCCAGAAAATAGGCTATTTATTTATTTATTTATGTATCACGCATATGTATATTCTGCCTTTCTTCCGAGACTCTGGGTGGTTGATAACAGCAATAGAATAAAATATCAAAACATTCAATAAAGCACTGCATATAGGAACAGCCACAAAACTGGCCCAAGCAATAAAACCTGATCAGAATAAAATTTCATCTAAACAAGAGGTCTGAATCACTAAAAGTTGAATATCTCCCCCTACAAATGAAATGAATTTCCCTGCCTAATGGAAAACCAACAACAGAGAGAGTAGGTGCATGTCTAGCAACCAAGGTGTTCCTGTCAATTGGGGTCATCCTGAAGATGGTTTGCTTTCAGTTCATGTCCCCTTACCTCACAAGGGGTGGGGATCCTAAGTGTCTCCTCCCCTAAAAGACCACACTGAATGGGTAGATGCCATTTGGAGGAGGCAGCCCCTACAGCAAACTGGAACTGCTCCTTTATACTGTAGGACTTTATACAGATTATAAGCAGATCTTTGAATTGGGCTCAAAAGCTATCAAAGAATTGGTGGAACACCACAGTAGCATGTCTCCCTGTTAGCAGGCTGGCCACTAGGATCAGTACCAACTCCAGTTTGCAAGCCATCTTCAAAAGCGGCCCCAAATAAAACCTGTTGCTGTGCTCTGAAAATATCTTGCCAAGGGCATGAGTCACAACCGCCAGGTAAAGGTTGCAAATGTACCAGCTTAGCTGGGTAAAAGTCCCCTGGTCATGACCTCCACCCACTGCTCCAGCAGGAGACATGAGTCCTGGAGAAACCCAAGCAAGAGACATTTTCTATGGCGTTCTACACAGGATCATATTCAGAATTATCACTGGGACTGATTGCTCCTGGATAAACAGGGCCTCTGGGGAGAGAAGGGCAGAGATAATAAAGAATGCAAGATCCCTTAGCAGATTAAAAAGCTAGTAAATGACACCTCAGCCTGAGAAAAGTCAGAGAAAGAGGCCCATAATAAACTCACCTTGACTTAGTAAAAGAGAAGGAAGAGGGAAGGGTTTTAAGATTCTGTTCTTATGCCCGTATAACAATAAAATAGAGTTCCATGGGTTCTTGCTGGGTCTTCCCGACCTGGCCTTCCTTGAAGGGATGATACCCAGTCCAGCAGAAGCCATGAGTCTAGCAAGACCACCAAGCTCCAGACCTTTTCAAGTGAGGGAGGGCAATCCTAATCAAAGCTAATCACAAAACTGTTTTAGAAGCCCCAGCTTGCTGGAATTTAGAATTTACTTTCAGCTTCTGCCTACTATCCAGATCCTCAACACTCCCCCCAACACACACACACACTGGGCTAGGGCTTTCCTGCAGCTCTGTTGCAGCAGAGAGGACAATGTGCTGCCGAGGGTCATGAGGATGCTGAAGATACCTCACTGCAAACTGACCGATGATATCTACCCAAGGTTTCATACAGAAGTTAAAACAGCACCAGAATGGCAATGCTGGGTTAAAAGAGGGGACGTGTGGATGATCTTCCTCTTGTAGCAGTAGTCCAGAACTTCACCTGCCACACTTCACTCTGTGTAATGGCTGTGAGAGTAACCTTGAAGAACAGGAGGAAGAACTGTAGCCAAGGCAATAGTCGAATAAGAGAAATCTTTAACTCAAGGGTGGAATTTGAGAAAGCGTTTCAGATTGCACCCTCCCTAGTTCTCTTTAGGATAAAGGCAGTGATGGGAGAGGCACATTCAGAGTTGTATGATGCTGTTACTGTGACCCTATAATAAGAGTTCATCTTATTATTTGTGATTTTGGTGTTCAAGACTGGTTTACCTCAAAGGGCTGACACCCTGAAGAATACTGAAGATGTATGGTCCCCAACCTCAAAAGCCCCTAACTGACCTATGAAGCCAAGGTACTTCTAGATGTGGTTCTTCTCTGGCACCTGCTCTGATTTTACTTATTGAATTTTTACCAAGCACAGAGATAGAGATGGAGGTGTCTTCCACCTTGAAGATTGTCCACAATTCCAAGAAAGGCTGGGAAAAGATAGCTTGCACCCCTTTGCACAATGAATCAAAGCAAGAAGCTCCCCCACATTTCAACATATAGCACACAACATCCATCTGAAAGGGTTCAAACTCCAAGGTACAGAATGATGCCACTGGGCAATCTCATCTGAGAACTGTTCAAAGCATGCTGGGCTGTTGATTCCTCTTTGAAAGTGAGCACGTATAACTGTCATGTCCACTGTGATTGATGCTGCTGGCTGCCTCCAAGGCCAAGTAATCGAGAACAGGCTGATTGCAGTACCTACAGCCTATCCTGGATTACTTGAACCTAGCCGCAGCCTTTGTAATTGGGAATAGCAATCATGATATATATGGAGGTTTGGGGTTTCAACCTCAGCTCCATCACAGCTCAGCCTGACCGGTGTTTAGGAGTATAGAGGAGATTTCCGTATGTTGAATCAGGCCACTGGGGTTCACATGGTCTAATGATCAGATATGTTCTTCTTAACTGATCTAGACATGCTAGGGTTGAGTAGAAGATCTTCTCACAGAAATAGATGCTGTACTATCAGTGGACCTTTCTCCTCATGCTGCTCTCAAGGGGTATCCCATAGCAACCATTACCAATTTAGATTTAATGTGAAATTTGTCTGCCATGCTAGGACCATCCAGACTGGCCACAATCTCTCTTCTCCCATTTTCCAGCATAGATTCCATACCTGGTGCATGACCCCGTCAATCTCCACTGGGATGATGAAATCTGCATTGTTCACCGGCTACAGGGGAGGAAGGAAGCACAAGGTAAATCACACCTTCTGAAAGACTTCTTCCGACTACCCATCTCCCTGGTTTTGAAAAAGTTATGTTGGAAACACTTCCTGGGTTTCTGAAACAAGATCAGCTTCTATTTTTGCTCTGCCAACAAATAACCATGTATATCCTTCCTTCATCCACTCCAATAGTTTGGAAGGACTAAGTTTGGGGAAAGCTGCTCTAATGTAGAAAGTTTAAAAATATAGCTGTTAAAAATCTCACTTAATAGAACTGCCTGGAATAAAAACCAGCAGAGGAGGAGGAGAAGGAGAAGAAGTAGTAGTAACAGTAGTAGTAGTAGTAGTAGTAGTAGTAATAGTAGTAGTAGTAGTAGAAGAAGAAGAAGAAGAAGGAGGAGGAGGAGGAGGAGGAGGAGGAGGAGGAGGAGGAGGAGGAG